GGGAGAAACTGAAGTGTCTGGCATCAAGGCAAGCTGAGGCCATTGGCCTTTTGCTAAACCCTCTCCCTACAGAGCCAGTAAGTTGGTGTCATAGCTGAGACTCCATCAACCTAGCTAACACTATTTGACCCACCTTGGAGATCCTCAGAGGCTCTGCATCACCCAATTTATGGGCCCACCCAAGATGCTTTTACACAAGAATGGTTGGTCTTGGCTCCTAAATCCTATCAAACAAGCAACAGCTGGCTTCAGTGAGCCCTAGCAGCAGCCAGATTAGATTCACAGCTTGGCTCCACCTGGGAATCTCCAAACTCAGCACAAGTAGCAGCCATCTCAGGTTGCTTTACAGCTCAGGCAGGGTGCTCCAGGCAAAACAAAGGTGGTGGCTGACCTTGGTCTGCACCACCTGGGAAACACACCCAGTGAAATGTTACACACCACATTGGAGCACCACCACCCTTCCCTTGCACAGCTGATCCTCCATGGACAGCAGAGGGTGGTAGTCAGTGGTCATAGCCAATCCTTGTAGCTGTCTGGCCTGGGTAAGTCTCTCCCATTGATCTGCCAACAGCAACCGAGGCTCAACTACAAGAGGAAGGTGTACTCAACCCACATGAAGGGCGCACCTCAAGTACCCAGCTTGGGTAATAGAGGAGGCTGTGCCACTGGACCCCACAGGACCCTACTACATTAGGCCACACTACGAAGACACGGAGTCAAAGCAGCTTTACCTAATACATAGAAACAAACACAGGGAGACTGACCAAATGAGGAGAAAAGAAACATGGCCCAAATGAAAGAACAGATCAAAACTCCAGGAAAAGAGCTAAATGAAAAGGAGATAAGCAATCTATCAGATGCAGAGTTCTGAACACTGGTTATAAGGATGCTCAAGAAACTTGGTGAGGAGGACCGCAGCAGCATAAAAAAAGACTCAGTCAGAAATGAAAGATACACTAATGGAAATAAAGAACAATTTACAGGGAAACAACAGTAGAGTGGATGAAGCCAAGAATCAAATCAATGATTTGGAACATAAGGAGGCAAAAACAACCACACAGAACAAGAAGAAAGGATCCAAAAAAGAAAAACAACAAGGATAGTATAAAAGCCTCTGGGACAACCTGAAGAAGTCCAACATTCACATCCTAGGGGTGCCAGAAAGAGAAGAGAAAGAGCAAGAAACTGGAAATCTATCTGAATAAATAGTGAAAGAAAACATCCCTAATTTGGTGAAGGAAATAGACATGCAAGTCCAGGAAGCACAGAGAGTCCCAAACAAGATGGATGCAAAGAGGTCCACTGCAAAATACATCATAATTAAAAGTCCAAAGTTTAAGGATAAAGAGAGACTCTTATAAGCAGCAACAGAAGTTAGTTATCAGATGGTTGCCAGATGAGAGGGGGGAAGGAGAGAATGAGTGAAGAGGTGAGGGGGTTGAGAAGTACAAATAGGTAGTTATAGAATAGGCATGGGAATGTAAGGTACAGTATAGGAAATAAAGTAGCCAAAGAACTTATAGGTATAACCCATGGACATGAACAATGGTGTGGAGATTTCCTGAGGGCATAGAGGGTGCTGGGTGGAGAGGGGAAAGGCAAAAAAATCAGAACTGTAACAGCATGATTTGATTAATAAATATAATTTTTAAAAAATTTTAAATGCTAATTTCTCCCAGAAGGATGGTGTGAATTACAGCCTATAAAGGGATTATGTCCCAGCCTTCTTTTTTTTAAGTCCTTACCTGAGGATATTTTGTTTTTCATTGCTTTTAGAGAGAAAGAGAAAGAAACATCTACATGAGAGAGAAAAATCAATTGGTTGCCTCCAGTATGCACCCCACCAGGGATGGAGCTGGTAACCTTTCAGTCATGGAACAACGCTCCATCCAACTAAGCCATACCAGCCAGGGCCGAGACCATTTTTTTTAATGCAGATATTCCAACTTCTACTTTTCCTCATCTCCAATTTCCCCAATGTGCAGCCCTATTTTTAAAGTAAAATTACAAGTTTAATCATGCTATCCCTAATCACTAGCAAAGACTTCATTGTTTTGGATAAAAGTCAAAAGTCTTAAATGATCCACAATGCCATTCACGGCTTGCCTCTCTCTCACCACTGTTACACTCGTGCTCTGGGCTGCAATCACACTGGTTTTCTCTTAGCTTTTGAAAAACAAAGTACATCCATGTCTTATCAAAGCAAGTACTTCTAAAAGCTATTTCCTCTGCCTGAAACCCTCTTTTCTCCACCTCTCTTCTGGCCAGCTCCTCACCATCCTCTACAGTTAAGCTTAAAGTTACTTCCTCAGAGCCTTCCCTAATCCTTCAATATAAATAATAAATTAGAATCTCCCCTTACTGATTCTTTTAACTCCTAATATCTCTCCCTGCTGGAACCAATGGATTTTTATTAATATTTTAAATGTATTTTAAAATTTATATTCACTGAAATTCACAAATGCATAGTCCTATAACCGCTACCACAAACAAGATACAGAACAGTTTGATCACCCTCAAGAATTTCCTCACACTATCTTTTTGTACTATGTCCATCCCTTTCCCTCAACCTCTGGAAACCACTACAGTTTTGCGTTTTTCAGAATATTTTTAAATGTCATTTAAAAAGAGAATGGTCTTGGCATGAAAACAGGCATATAAATCAACAGAAGAAAATAGAGTCCAGAAATAAATCCACACATATATGACCAATTAATTTACAACAAGAAGCCAAAAACATACAATGGAAAAAGGACAGTCTTCTCAACAAGTGGTGCTGAGAAAATTCAAGTCACATGCAAAAGAATGAAACTGGAAGGAGATTAAAAGCAAATGTAGGACCTGAAAATAGCTAGAAGGAAACATGGACAATAAGGTCTTTGACATAGGTCTTGGCAATAATTTTTTTTTAATCTGACACCAAAAGCAAAAGCAACAGAAGCAAAAATAAATGGGGACTGTATCAAACCAAAATTCTTCTAAGCAATGAAAGAAGCCATCAACAAAAATAAGCAGCCTAATGAACGAGAGAAAATATTTGCAAATCAAATATCTAATAAAAAGTTAATATCCAAAGTAACTCAGACAACTTAATAGCAAAAAAGCAACAATAAAAATCTGACTTAAGAAATGGGCAGAAGATGTGAATAGACATTTTCCCAAAGAATACATACAGATGGCCAACAGGTACGTGAAAAAGTTCTCTCCATCATCAATCATCAGAGAAATGCAAATCAAAACCACAATGATATAACCCATATCAAAAATATTATATAGCAAAAAAAAATTAATGAATTACTATAAAAGACTGACAGATTTTCAACATATTTTTAAACAAGAGGGGAAATAATATATAGAGCATAATACTATTTTTGCAGAAATAAAACAAAAAGCAATATTACACATATTTCCAAGTAACAAATGTATTATAAAAATGCACAGAATAACCCTGGCCGGTGTGGCTCATTTGGTTGGAGCATGTCTCACAGACTGAAAGGTTGCAGGTTCGATTCCAGGTCAGGGCACATACCCAGGTTGCACATTCAGTCCCATGAGGGTGTGTACAAGAGACAATTAATCAATGTTGCTCTTTCATATCGATGTTTCTCTATCTCCCTCCGTTCCTCCCTCTCTAAAAGTAATGAAAAAATGTCCTTGGATGAGGATTTAAAAAAAAAATGCACAGAATAAGAAGGATACCCAACACATTGACAATGTAGTTACATTGGAAAGACACTAGGTTTGGTAGGGAACATGGTCAAAGATTTTAATATTCTTAGTATTTTAGTTCATTGCAAGAAAAATATCTTAATTTGGAACTATATATTAATTTAGAAATAAACACTACGTTTAAAAATCAAATTGCTGGACATGGACAACAGAGTGGGAATTGACTGTGGGAGTGGGGGGTGGGGGGGTAAAGGGGGAAAAATTGAGACAACTGTAATAGAGTAAACATGATTTATAAATTAAAAAAATACATTTTAAAAAATAAATAAATAAAAATCAAATTGCTTTCTGAATGTAACAAGTTCTGCTGTAAAAATATTTTTTTAATAATCAAGACTGAGTACTTTATACAATGAAAAGATAGTATACCCACATGGCTATGAACATGTGAACTAATTAATCTGTAGCATAGTGAGAATACCGAAATCTTTAGCCTAATTTACAGTTAGTCAGTTTAACTGCTGATTGAGTTAGCCTAATTATGTTAATTTCATGAGTAAGGCACTTCCATTCCTTATAGATCAGAGTGTTCAAATGAAAAAATTTCCTGTTTACTTGGGCAATTTTTACTGTTTAAACCGTTTGGAATCTGGTCAATCAGAGACTTGCCTTACTGGTTTTGGTTATAACTGACTTCACTACATCAGGAATTTTACATGTTGCTATCCCTTAAACAACTTCAAACCTAGAAAATTCTCACAATACCTCAAGATAGAGGCAGGTATGTCATGAATAACTGAAATGTTAATTTTAACCGATCTGAAAATGTCTTTATTTTAATTTTAATGAGGATTAACTACTGTTAACTATCATCGAATACTTTTCCTTATAAATATGATCATTTGCACTAAAAGCATTAGTTTATAAGGAAGCATAAATAAATATCTGCCTTTTGGCAAATAATTAGAAAGAATTTTAAAGTATATCAATCTAGAAACATCATCTATCTCAATTCATATTTTTGCATTAAACAATTACTATTCAGAGAAACAAGGAGAGGATGGTATTTGATAATCAGAAGATACCTAAATTTAAAATGTTCATAGGAATGAGAAATTTTATTGTTAATTTTTGATAAAGATAGCTACCTTATTTTTCCTCCTTCACAGAATAAATTTTTTATACTTTATTAATGAAATAAATGAAACTTGGCAAGTCATTTCCCTCTTTCATAATAGCTAACATAAATGTGTAACTTTTTTACTCCCTCAGGAAAGATTTAATGGTGGGACGTATCTTTCCTTCCATCTTTTTTGCCTAAAAACGTAAGAATGAGAAGGATTGTCTTCGGTAGTGCTTTTGTCTTATTCTGCCTCTTAGGTGGTAAGTCATTAAGAAAGCATAAATCAAAAGGAGGGAAAATTATCTAGGAAATTGCAGAATTACAATATAAGTGACATATGGTCTTAAACGAGGCAATTAAGATGCTTACAAAGAGGCCTGAGTAAGGACATATATTAATAATATAGTACGAGCTAACAAATAAAGTCATAAAGTAGAATAGCATACTTCAGAATTAATCATGTAAAGAAACTAATTTGAAGCTTTAAATCTAATTGTCAAACCAAAAATATATCATATGTCAAAAACAACCATATATTTTAAGACAATACAAGACTAAAAGGAAGTAAATGGGATCTGAGAACATATAAGTATTCATGAAAAATTACCATCAGCAAAAGGCCTAAAAGTAAAGGCATCTTCTTTAGTAATAGTAAAAAATGTGAGGGCCAAGATTTTAAGAATAAGGGTATGGATACTGGGTGTGGAATCAGAAGGAGGAAGGACCATCTGAGAGGAAAACAAAGAAGACGGTGACATCAGATGGTTTAGTAGCTACAGTGACCTGGTGTGGTTACTGAGAGCAAGGGTTTGGGATTAAAACAGACCTTTTTAAACTCTATCTCTGCCACCTGAGCAAGCTACTTGAAATCTTGGGGCCTCAGTTTTCTGCGAAATGTAGGCAACTATAACACCTCCTGGAAAGATTCGTTATGGGAATAATTGGACTAATGCATGTAAATAGATTATCAATAGGCCTAAGTTTGGTTCTGAAAGGTACTTGTCGATTGATACTTGATTATGGATTGAAACTCTGTCACGCTTAGTGAAAATACCAATGTGAAATTTCCAAAGTGTCAAGCTGAGGTTGAAACTGGGGAGAATAGTCAAGAGAGGTTAATTAGCCTCATCAGCCAGACTATTTTTTATTAAAAACAATCGTTTCTAACCCCAGATGTGACAGAGGGAGATATAAACTACATTGCACTACATTGCTCAAAAGGTCTAGTAAACACTTCCTTGGGGTTGTCAATGAGTAGGCGTGACTTGGCAATGGTCTTCATATATTAAAAGATGGGAACTATGAACACTAAGACAAATTTTAGCTGAATTTCAGAAGACTCTTAATAATTGAGCTGTTTTTAACAGTGATGAGCTCTCCACCACTAGCCAAGGCTCCCTGCAGGAATTATCATAAGGGAGACCGCTGAAGTCAGTAGAACCAGTGGTTCTCAAAAATTGATCCTGATATCTACATCTAAATCACATGTTTTCTGCCCTGACTCAGTTGGTTGAAGTGTCATCCGGTAAATAGAGAGGTCACAGGTTCAAGTCCCAGTGAGGGCACATGCCTGGGTTTGTGGGTTCGGTCCTCAGTCAGGGAGCATGCGAGAGGCAACCCACTGATGTTTCTCTCTCACATTGATGTTCCTCTCCCTTTTTTACCTCATCCTTTCCCCTCTCTCTAAAATCAATAGGCATGTCCTCGGGTAAGGATAAAAAATAATAATAGTAGTAAATAAACAAATCACAGGCTTTCTACTTACTGCATGTCTAAAATAAATTCTAACTGGGGGTGGAGGGTGCCCTCTAGGAATCTGTGTTTATTTTAACTGCTTAAGTAAATCTAATCCACAGACAAATTTGGAAACAGAACTTCTAGATAATATCTTCCATTCTTACATATGTGGACCCAGTTCAAAAATTTCTGGGCTATTTCCACACAAAATGAATAACAATTTTGAACCACTGAATTTGACTATTGAAGATAACCAATATATAAACATGAATCAAGCAATAAATATTCACAGAGAACTTACTATGTATAATGTGCTGCTTTAGACATTGAAATGAAGGCCTAATAGTGACTATACAGCTGAAATTAATTGTTCTGGCTAAATAACTTCAGTTTGATTTAATTAGGCACAGAGGAACTGAATAAATTTTAACTAAGTTGTTTAGACCACCTGGCCTCATTTCTAATTGGTATCAGTTCAGAGTACTTCCAATTCATGATTGTAGCATATGTGAAGTCAAATTTTTAAAATATTGCTTACTTTTAAAGTTGAAAAATCACTGCTTTATTTTTGGATCTCTCTCTTTCTCTTTTTCCCTTTTTTTTCTCTCTCTGGTCTTGCTCTCCATTTTCCCCTTATATTTTCTTTCCTGTGCTTGGAGATGTTGGAGGTGTGATTTGTAGATCATGCAACCTTTCAATCCCCTTCCATGGATGTCTTTTAGACTTTGGAACCTGCAAAACAAAACCTGGCCAGTACTGTATAAAAGAGGTCAACACTAAAGGTAAGTATTGACACTTTAAAAAACAACAACAACAACTTAGTGCCCTGGCTGGTGTGGCTCAGTAGATTGAGCACTGCTGGCCTGTGAACCAAGATGTCACCAGTTTGATTCCCCATCAGGTCACATGCCTCAGTTGAGGGCCAAGTCCCCAGTTGGGGGGCATGTGAGAGGCAACCAATTGATGTTTCTTGTGCACATTGATGTTTCTCTCCCTCTCTTTTTCCCTTCCTTCCCCTCTCTCTAGAAGTAAATAAATAAAATCTTTTTTAAAAAAGAAAAGAAACTTATTTAAAATGAGCACATTCATTGAGCATTTTTTATATACCATATCCTGTATGAATCCTATATGAATGGCTTTACCTGGATTATTTTACAAAAACAAAACCAAACAATGATGTGAACTGGATCTTGTCACTATTCCCATTTTTTACACATGAGAAGTCTGAGGAATAGAAGCTAATGAATGTCAGCCAGGATTCAAATTCAAGTACTTTGACCTCTGAGCACACATTCCCAATGAATCTATATGATGCTTTAGTCATAACACTCACATCCTCACAAAAAATAAATATATAATTTGCTGACCCTTCTAAGCACAGCTTTATGCAACTGTACAGTTTGCATGCCCAAAAAGCCAGGCTTATCTGCATAAATTAAAGTGCTAAATGTAAAAATCCAAATGAAGAAAACATTAGAAGAAAATACTGGAGAACATATTTTAAGTTTGAAAGAGAAGAGGCCTCCTTAACATCCAAAAGGCAAAAGTTGTAAATAAAATGATAGATAAATTTAAATATATCAATATTTTCAAATTTTAAACTGTATCACAAACCCAAAATTTAAAGGTAAGGAATAAACTGGATGAAAATATTTTAAACATAAATAACACAAAAAAAATTACTATCTATCTGGAATAAAGAACTTCCAGAAAACAATTTTTAAGTAGACCAACAATCAGGGAAAAGAAAAAAAAAAAAACAAACTAAACTTGTTAAAGGAATTGTAAGGCGGTTTTCAAAGGAAGAGACATAATTGACCTGACCTAAAAACATAAAAAGCTGCTCAACTCATCAGTAAGTATCAAACAGAAGAAGAAGAAGAAAATACCATTCGAAATAGCAACAAGAAAATAAAGTACCTAGGAATACATTTAACCAAGGAGGTAAAAGACCTGTACACAGAAAACTATACAACATTGAAGAAATAAATTAAGGAAGACACAAATAAATGGAAGCATATACTGTGTTCATGGATTGGAAGAATTAACATCATCAAAATGTCCATACTACCCAAAGCAATTTATAGATTCAATGCAATCCTTATTAAGATACCAATGACGTATTTCACAGAAATAGAAAGGACATTTCAAAAATTTATATGGAACCATAAATGACCCCGAATAGCCACAGCAATTTTGAGAAAGAAAAACAAAGTAGGAGGGATCACAATACCGGATCAAACTATATTACAAGGCCACTATACTCAAAACAGTCTGGTACTGGCACAAGAACAGACCCATAGACCAGTGGAACAGAATAGAAAGCCCAGAAATAAGCCCAGGTCTATATGGGCATCTAATATTTGACAAAGGGGCAGAAGCATAAAGTGGAGCAACAATAGCCTCTTCAACAAATGGTGCTGGGAGAGCTGGACGGCTACATGCAAAAAATTGAAATTGGATCATCAGCTGACACCATACACAAAAATAAACTCAAGATGGATAAAAGACTTAAATATAAGTCGCAACACCATAAAAGTCCTAGAGGAGAACATTGGCAGGAAACTCTCAGATATCCCACACAGCAATTTTTTCACTGATATGTCTCCTAAAGCAAGGGACATAAAGGAAAGAATAAACAAGTGGGACCTCATCAAAATAAGAAGCTTCTGCTTGGGTAAAGAAAACATCAGCAAAATGAAAAGGGAGCCAACCTTATGGGAAAATATATTCGCTAATGATACATCAGATAGAGGTTTGATCTCCAAGAATATATAAAGAACTCACTCGACTCCACTCCAAGAAGACAAACGATCCAATCAAAAAATGGGCAAAGGACCTGGGCAGATGTCTTTCCAAGGAAGAGATACAGAGGGCCCAGAGACATTTGAAAGGATGCTGGGCATCACTAGCCATCAGAGAAATACAGGTCAAAACCACAATGAGATACCACCTCACACTGGTCAGAATGGCCATCAGAAACAGATCAACAAACAAGAGGTGCTGGCAAGGCTGTGGAGAAAAGGGAATACTAGTACACAGTTGGTGAGGATGCAGATTGGTGCAGCCATTGTAGAAAGCAGTGTGGAATTTCCTCAAAAAGCTAAAAATGGAACTGCCTTTTGATCCAGTGATTCCCCTGCTGGGACTATACCCTAAGAATCCCAAAACTCCAATTCAAAAGAACCTATGCACCCCAATGTTCATAGCAGCACAATTTACAATAGCCAAGTGCTGGAAGCAACATAAGTGCCCATCAGTAAATGAGTGGATCAAAAAATTATGGTACATTTACACAATGGAATACTATGCAGCAGAAAGAAAGAGCTGCTACTCTTCGCAACAGCGTGGATGGAACTGGGGAGCATTATGCTAAGCGAAATAAGCCAGGGAGCGAAAGACAAATACCATATGGTCTCACCTATAAGTGGAACCTAACCAAAAATACAAAGATGCAAGGAAAATATGACCAGCAACACTGAAAGGAAAAGAAACTAACAGAGATAAGAGGGAAGAAGGGCGGGGTGGGCAGGGGAAAAGGAAGGGAAGGGGCAAGTCAAGGAACATATAGCAAGGACTCATGGACAAAGCCAAAGTGGGGAAGGATTGAGGAAGGCAGAGGGAGGAGGGGCAGGGGAAAGTGGTGGGGGAAGGCAGAGACAAATGTATTTGGAAAAATAAATAAAGTAATTTTAAAAAAAAGAATTAATATCATTAAAATGGCCATTCTACCCAAAGCAATCTACACATTCAATTCAGTTCTTATTAAAATACCAATAAAATACTTCACAGAACTAGAAAAAAAATAATGTATTTTTAACCCATCAGATTGATGATAACTATGAAAGTTTTATAATGTCAGGGTTTAGTGACAGTGTGAGGAAATGGGAAGTCTCATACATTTCCAGTGACAATTTAGATTGGTTTAGCATTTTAGATATTCTCATTAAAGTTTTATTTTTAAAGATTTTATTTACTTACTTTTAAAGAGAAGGAAAGGGAAGGAGAGAAACATCAATGTGCAAGAGATGCATTGATTGGTTGCCTCTCACATGCCCCCAACCTGGAACCTGGGCTGTAACCCAGACAGGTTCCCTGACTGGGAATCGAACAAGCAACCTTTTGATTCGCAGGCTGGTGCTCAATCCACTGAGCCACACAAGGCAGGGCTCATTAAAATTTTAAATGAGCACAGCCTTCTACAGAGCAATTCTATTTCTTGCTATCTACTGCAAAGAAATAGCTACATGGCAACACACAAAGGCATGTATCAAGGTTATCAACACAACTTCATGTTTAATAGTAAAGTAATAGAAATGACCTTAATATTTGTCTATAGGTATTATTTAAAAATTATGATCCATTCACACCATGAAACGCTAGGCAACACTTAGAATGAATTAAATCTCTTTGTTAACATGGGAAAATCTGTAAAACATTGTTAAGAAAAAAAGTTGCAAAACAGTTACGTACAGTATACCTCCTAGGAATAAAAATCTCCACAAAGCAAAACTCTAAGTTTCTCTGTGGAATTGGAAGAGAAGAATAAAAATTCGAGGAAATGAAAGTTAGCTGGGAAAAAGGTATAGAATTTCGGGGCCATATCTGCTGGGGTTTGGAGATTATAATTACTTGAGCCTTGTTCAACCTGTCTAGCCTAGTCACCGTCTCTGAACCCCGAGTTCCCTGGGTGCAACTTTGCCAGTCAAGGTGCCTTCATTTTGAAGTAGAAAGGTGCCAAATCCTCTTGGAAGTCTCCTCCCTTCTCTTCCTGAGTGTGGACAGACATCTAGTCAGCTTGACATCAGAACAAGTACTAAAGGACTCTGGACACAAGCAAGAGCAGGGAAGCTTATGTATAGCACAATATCGACAACAGTTCTTGGTGGGTCAGAGACCTAGAATGACTGCAACATTAAGGGAAGAGTACTTTCCTGACTTGGAAGTGTTGCCATGTCACAATGATGTGAAACAAATTGAACTGGGATTTACCTTTTTGACAGTTTTATCCACAGGGTTTCTCCTCTTGGGTACTATTCACACTGGCAGAGAAATTCTTTTTTATTCGGGGCTATTTTGTGTATTGTAGGATGTTTGTTTAGCACATCGCTGGCCTCTACCCACTACACGCCAGTAATAGCTTCCATGTTGAAATAACAAAACTACCTCTGGGAATTATCTACTGTCCTGGGGCTGGGAGAACAAAAATCGTCCCCAGCAGAGAACTACTGTTTGCTCAAGTTCCCAACCATCATATATTTTGCCTTTGGGGAATTGCTCTTCTGTGTTCTTCCAACTGCAGCTGGGACGCTAGGGTTACAGGACACTACTGTCACTTTCTTTGTACTTTTGTGTATTTTTCACATTTTCTACAGCGAACGTGCATTACTCCTTTAATCAGGGACAAAATTAAGTGAGGTCAAGGACACACCTCATTTCTGAAACACATCTAAATGATCCTTCTGAAGATTCAGTCCTTTTGAGTAACTCATCACCTGGGTTAAACTAGGGGATGACATTAGGAAGCTTCCAAGTAGCTAACAATTCAAAAATTTTACATAGTCAGTGGCAATCGCATGTCTTTTATTATCTGAGTCTGAAGACTATTTTGATTTACAATAGTCAAGCTTTTGTACTGCAATGTACCCAACTAGAAAACTTTCAGGTGGGAGTTCTTAAACGCAAGAAGATTGTATCTTGATAAACCTAAACTTTTGCTTTGTACTTTCTTTAACCTGTTATTTGAGGCCAGGTAGATTGCACCTCCCAAGGGATTTCTCAGCCTCTCCCTCTTTGTTTCCTCAGGTGGAATTCACTGGTTTTCAGTTAAAGGCTGCACAGAGAGCCACGAGGAGTGCTTCAAGAGAATTGTGACGCATTATAATACTCGGTCTACTCACTGCTGTTATCTCCCTTTGTGCAATTTCTGAGCTCTTACTCAAATTGCTCGACTAATCAGTCACTCTGAAAGCCTGACCTGGTATTCAAAAGGTGACAGCCACCATCCACCAGCCCTCTGCAAAAACCTCAGACCTTTCCTGGCTGTAAGTTCTGATATGAAACCAATTTTGGTTTTCGAGGTGCCCAACTTCTCCCCCACCAATTCCAACTCATTTCAGGAACATCCTTTTCAACACTATCTCTTGTCCTCTTTCTGCTTAATTTCCTTTCCAGTGATTTCAGGGCTACAAAGAGGTAAAAATGTGAGTGATTTCCTGAGTCAAATTATATACATCATCTCTAGTTCACAAATTTTCCTAAATATTTCCATAATCCATAATATAGTTATAGATGAACTATATATAGCACAAGATACCAAATGACCAGAAAGTGTTCATTTGGTTTCCAAAGGAAACTGCCATGGTCTTTTGGGGTAATTTATGGTATGGAAGAAACTTATTTAACAAATATTATACCATAGGAAAAATAAGCCATAAATCAGCAAACCAGACCTGAGAGAACTATGGCCCCAAATGACAAAGGGCGCAAAGCAGATGGAAAGGCTGATAGTTATTTCTTCCATCTGCATTAGGATTTGCCCAAAATCTGGATTCCCATACCTTAACTGCTCATGAGTACATTGGCCTAATTTTAGCAGATTAAGCGATTCAGCTTAGGCAGGGGGATAGATTCCCATCCACAAGGAATTAAAAAAATTTTTTTGAACTGCACTTCACATTTTTTAACATGCCACATATTCAATTATTCTTATTCAATGCCCTACTTATGTTACTTCAAGATTATTTCATTTTAGAATTTGAAGTGTTTTTCTCTGTATTTTCAGGAGTTTGAAAAATTCAAATGGTAAATAATAAATCTCAATAAAGCATTTTTTGTTGTCTTTTTCTCAGGACCTAGGATTCTCACACAGAGCCAGCCCTCAATAAGGACTTTTCTATAAACTTCAAAGAAAAACAAGCATTTTTTTTAAAGGCCCAAGGAAACTAGACATTTTCCTCCACACTCATTTCAACTATATTTCTCAGACCATGTTTCTGAACTCACTAAAAAAGTTTCTTCATTCTGAGATTTAAATCCATTTGTCATTATTCTGTCACTTTGTGTGTCAGGCACATTGGTAAACAGGGGTTACCCAAAATCAGTGAACTTCATGGAGAGTTTCCTTTTATTTTTCTTGTTTTTAAAATCTAACCTTATTGCCCTGACTAGTATGGCTCAGTGGGCTGGGCATCAACCTGCAGACTGAAAGATCATGGATTTGATTCCCAGTCAAGGTACATGCCTGGGCTGGGGACCGGGTCTCCAGTTGGGGGCGTCCAAGAGGCAACTGATAGATGTTTCTCTTGCACAACGATATTTCTGTCCCTCTGTTTTTCCCTCCCTTCCTCCCTCTCTAAAAAAATAAAATAAAAATAATATAAACTAAAATATCACCTTATTTACCCAATATCATGGGGAAAATATAACAAGATCAGATAATCAGTGACTAACTCCACAGAGCTTCCCAAACATAATTTGCAACCCCAGTGACGTAATAAAAATATTAGGAAGCAAGTGCTAGTTTATCGTGTCACTAACTAGTTGTCAGCCTTGGCAAGTCAGTTTGCTCTCTCTTCATTCTCCTCACATATAAGATGAAAGGGATTGGATCACATGATCTCACAGATCCCTTCAAATCCTAGCATTTTATGACTCGGCATTGACCAATACCTCTTTGCTGTTGTATTCTTAGATTTAAAAATAAGACTTGGTGCTGAATACATAAAATAGGCCCTGGTTGTTACGATTAATGCTCCCCTAGCTCTGTGTAAGGTAGAAAAATGAAAGGAGAAATGCAAACAGTGACCATCACTGAAGCAGTTTATGTGCCAGCAAGTTTTATCCAAAACTGGGAACAAGAAATAACTTTCACACCCTGGCTGCTGTGGCTCAGTGGATTGAGTGCCAGCCTGCAAACCAAAAGGTCCCTGTTTCCATTCCCAGTCAGAGCACAAGCCTGCATTGCGACCAGGTCACTAGTCGGGAGTGTGTAAGAGGCAACTGATTCATGTTTCTCTCCCACACTTTGATGTTTCTCTCCCTCTCTTTCTCCCTCCCTCCCCCTCTCTCTCTAAAAATAAATAAAATCTTTTGGAAAAAAAATAACTTTCACATCCTTGATGTGGTGGGCTGAGTAATGAACCCCCAAAGATGTTCATGTTCTAACCGCTGGATGTGAGATTAGGAAATAATTCTGAATTACTCCAGTGGGCATACTGTAACCGCAAGAGTCTTTTCAAGAGGGAAGCAGGAGCGAGTCAGGGAGAGATTTGAAGATGCCAAGCAGTTGCCTTTAAAGGTGAGGGAAGGGTTCACAAGCCAAGGAATGTGGAAACCCTCTAGAAGCTAGAAAAATCAAGGAAACAGGGTCTCCCCTAGAGCCTCTAGAAAAAAATGCAGCCCTGCAGATACATTTTAGACTTGTGACATCCAGAATGGTAAGATAGTAGATTTGGGTTTTTTCCTAATTTAGATATAATTGACATGTCACATTATATTAGTTTTGTGTATATGACATGATTATTTCATATTTGTATGTATTAGGAAATGATTACCACATTAAGTCTAGTTAACGGTCATCACTATATATAGTTACAAAAAACTTTGCTTTCTTTTAACATAGTGAGTTGTTATTGTAGCCATGGAGAATCAAATACACTTGATCATGCAAGGGATGGGATGGTGAGGCATTTCCTCTGCCCCCAAGGTTTACATGTCCAACTCTTGATATACATGCGATCTGATTTCTAGAGAGGTACCTCAGTGTCATATTATCTTCCTTTCATTGTAACAATTTCTCAGTCATAATTTCCCTAGAAACACACAGATGGTCTACAGACATGCAATCATGTCTTATTAGTTTACACCTCCTACTCAAGCCCCTATCCATTCAAGATTTTTTTGGCTAACAACTTTATCCCTTTCCTATCCCTTATACCTAAAGACAAAGTGATACCTAATTTCTATGTATAAGACATCAGAATGAAGTGCTAATGGATCTCGGAACCTGACTGATCCTCTGAATACAAAGATGGCTTCCTTGTTGATTACTTTTTTTTTCCTGCAAATGACATAGAAACCTTTGTGGTTTATGCCCCATAATTCATTAAAAAGATAAGCCTTTGCAATCAATAGGTGGGGGAATCTGGAGGATGTGGCAGAGAAGAAACTAAAATGATTCTATTAGCAAAGAAGATAGGGCACATTTTGCCTGCTAGCACTCAATTACGAGGTTTTCTGAAGTTACAAGGAGCATACATTTTATAGTTGATACGGCCATTGCTGCTTTCCCCGCTCTACTGATGAGGAGGCTAACGCCGTGTAGCCAATGGGTGGTAGAGTGAGAACTTCTGGTGACACACCAAGGCATCTTTGCTCCACACAATTGCCATCCCTTAGGAGCACCACATGGGTGGGCAAAAGCTGTGGGAGGGTGTGACCCTGACTCCTTAGCTCATGTTTCAAATCTCTGAGAAATGAGATTAGGAGTCTTTGAAAGAAGCATCAGAGCAAAGAAATAGAAGAAAGTGGGATGATTGATGACTGATCCCTGAGTGTCATGAACAACTCTGAGTCTGGCCAAGGACTTGGGACAGAAAGAAATATTCAGTTAGATAATGATGGAGAAAAATCTGTTTGAATGTTGCAAGCTACGTAAAGGGAGCCATCTTTTAATTTGGTTTTCTGTAGTGAAGAAGTTTATGTGCTAATACTTTTATGGCTAAAACTTCAGGCTGATATCCGATGCTAGAGACATGGTCCATCACTCACAACTTTGGGGAGACCTGGGGTCATCTCAGCCCTGTCTGTCCAAAGTAGTTCACATTTTCTTTCCCAGTAGTTGACCCATATGGCTGCATATCCTACAAGTTAAACCATTAGAGGTGACTGTACCAACTGGTGGACACATTTCTCCTACCTTGCATATTTCCTTGATCTCTGTAAATTACCAGTGGTAACTACTGTTGAAACCTCTTTCTAGTTGAACCTTAAATCTTTTTTTAATCTTTATTATATTTTTTCCATTACCATTTAGTCCCCTTGAACCTCAGATCTTAACATTCCAATCTATCCTTCCCATAACTTACTGGTGTGAGTATATTTTCTACCTCTTATCTCCACACATACCAAACAAAGTTAATAGATCTGCCATCAGAAATTATTATGTAGAGTGGAACTTCCAGGCAGAGCTGTAACTGCAATTTCGGTGCCAGGGCAAGCATAAAACATGCCCTCAAATTAACTTTGTAATTCATGTCTTGGCTCATATACGGGTGTTATTGATGATACTTACCATCTGGTAGCTTCCCATTCTAACTAATTATTCTTGCTAACTAGCATTAAGCTTAGCGATACTATGTGTATGTGCTGTTGAATTAATTTTTTTTAAATGGCACGCTGTGAATTTCAGAGACCAGGGGCAAAAGTGCCATGGCCAGGCCGATATAGAGCTCTGAGGATGGAGAGAAAAAGAGAGAGAAAGAAGAGTAGCCAATGACAGTAGAGATTTGAAGCACATGGGACTCATTAGTTCAATAAATATCTATTGAGCAATTCTCACATGTCAGGTATAATGGAGGTGCTGAGAATAAAATAGTGAATCATTTATGGTGCAAGGAAGGCTAAACAACAATCATTTTATTATTATCTTTCTTGGTTCTGGGGCTGACTAGGCTCCACTAGGCAATTCTCTCTTAGGGTTTCTCCTGGAATTAAAGTTAGAGGAGAGCTAGGCCTGAAATCATTCTCTCTCAGGGTCCCAAAAGAGAGAAGGCCAGACAGAAGCTAGACTGGCTTTTATTACTTATCTTCAAAAATCATATATGTCACTTTCACTAGACTCTTAGTTGAGGTAGTCACAAAGGCCCACCCAGGTTCATGGGAAGAATAGAAAGACACCACCTCTTGATGAGGAAGTACTGAGTTTCTG